GGGGAGGGGGAGTGGGGGGGGGGGGGGGGGGTGTGTCCCAGGATCTGTGCGCAGGGTGAGGGTGCGTGGGGCTGCGGCTGTGCCAGGCTCCTCCTGGTGGCAGGGCCAGGCTGGGAGGCAGGCTATGGGGGGGCTATGGTGAATTTTGGGGTGACTGCAGCCTCCACCCATATATTTAAATAGAAACATAATTTAGAAAAATAATAGTTAACTTGTCATATACTCTGAGCTAGGTACCTTTTCCCACATAAACTCTCCAAATGTGTATCAGGTGCACACTCTGATTTGCTCTTTTACCAAGGGGTAAAATGAAGACACTGAGATACCACTATTTCATTACCTTGCAGTCATTTTCCTTTTACACACACAAGCTAGTAGCACATTTTCCATATCAGCATTGGCTTGAAACATTCCTCTTCCTTTAAGTTACTTCCATTTTACCAGCCATGTTTAACCCATCTGAATTTTTACCAAGTTTTTATTTAGTAGGAATTCTAATCTCGAAAGTATCCTCTGGGAAACACCTCTCAGACCATACATTAATACTGTGGTGTCTCAGTGGCTGACAGCAGCAGAGAAAACAAACCTCAGGTAGTAACCTCACCACTTTGAAATACTCAACTCATAACTGAGTCTAGCTATTTCACATCATGCAAACTTGATTTTTTTGATTTGCTGGAGCAAAGGAACATCTAATGCCATTCTAACAGTGTTAAAGCAACCAGAGATATGTCAAACTCTCTCTGGTACCACACAGCTAGGGATAGTAATTGCTGTAATTAATACACACATTTTTACCCAAAATTTAACCCTCCAAATTGGGGGGGTGGTGTCTTAAGCAGGGAAGTTGATGTTTTTCTGTCCAGTATAGCAACAGAAGAATTTCCATTCAAGCAGGCTGAGGGGAGCAAATTCAATGGCTCAATTTACTTAATTCCTGCTAGTTGCTCTTCACTCAACAGGTGTTACTCTCCCTTTTAATGGTCTTGATGTTCCATTAATCAAGGCATCTTCTTTTCAACAATTCTGCTGAAGACTTTGCAATTTAGCTACTCCTGGTCTCTCCTGTTTCGCAACCGTACAGACTGTTTTAAGCAAATCCTAGATCTGCTCCTGGAAATCAATCTCCAGTAACATCTAGTTTCAGCTTTTGACTGAATAGCCATGAGCTGCTGATAATTAAGCTGTGAAAGGGTTAAAACTGTAGCTTTTCCCTGACCATGAAAGGAAGGGAGAGTGAACTAAAGATTAGCTTCTGCCCCTACCTAGCCATGAGTCTTTTTTTCAATTTTCTTTATGCTTCCTTTCCAAAAAGGAAAGTGTGTGTCTTATTTGGGAGGTTTGGTATGCAAGAAAATACAGTATACACTTCAACAGCAGTTCCCTAAAATGGGAGCGAGTACCCTTCCATCTGCACTAGGCCTATAAAAAGTTTTATTTTTATATATTTCCAGTCAAAAGTATATATTATTTATGTATTTCCAGTGCCAATATACATTCCCAGTCAAAAAAAAAAATGTTAAATTGTGATTACGGTGGAGAGGTATATACGAGACATTTAAGAATAATACTATCTATGTTCCTTTTATCCATTATTACATAGAGTAAAATCTCTGCTATCTGACATTTAACTGTGGCCAGCTGGATGCAGAGGGGGTGGGGGAAAGGCTGTACATGGCAGCGCCCACTGCCACCCACCACCCTGCACTCTCGCTGCTCCGCATGCAGCCATTGCCACATCTCCCTTCCCTCGCTTTGCATACCCTGAAAGCTCCTGCCAGGGGTTTTCAGATAACTGGAATTTTTACAGAACCAGCAATCCCCTCACTCTGGGGATATCCGCTGGATAACAGAGATTTTACTGTATTCTCTCCCTTCTGGTGCCACCTACAGGCTATTTTGATAGAACGGGTGCACTTGGTGAACTCTCGCGCCAGAAATTGGATCCCTTTTAAATCCTTGCTAGAAATAAGAAATTACCAAAATTTGGAAAAGAAAGTACAATCTAAGCAACGTTTTTATTCTAGCAGCCACGATCCTGTCAGATCCATAAGACAATTAGCTAACTGTTCAGATTTGTGTTCGAAGGAAACGAAAAGTGACAAATCATGTAAAAACACAGAATGTACTACCTGCTCTGCCTATTTAACTTTAAACTCCTCCTGAAATAATCTCTAAATAGACTTTTCAGGCTTGAATATCACAGTAAAATGCCAGCTCAGAAGAGTAACTCTTGATATAAAGGCTAGGCTGATCTTTCATTAACCCAAGTTCCAGGAGAGTACTAACTAGTAGTTTTTGCAAAGCCTCAAACAAGACGAAATGTTCTCCTTGAAACTGAAAGTAAAAGCTGTCAGGCATGAGGGAATCTGAATCTATTACAGAAAACTTGGTTGTCTTAATCTCCTTGGAGCTACATCAGCCCACTTCTTGGCCTACACACATCAGCCCAGAACTCTCTTTTTGCTGCAGATTCCATACGGAATAGTCTGATTCCTCAGCATGACTACAGCAGGGTATCTGCTTGCCTCTCTGGAGGAGAAAAAATAGCTGCGTTCAAGTTAAGCAACTACAGCTGAAAGCCCAGCTTCATCTCCCCTCCCATTCACCCCAGACCTCGGATCAGGACTTTCCAATGCCCTTTACTTGGGAATTGGTTACAGTTTAACTAGGTTGGGTTTAAAAACAGATTTTGGTTAGGTCAGTGCAAAAAAACCCTGCTGGGGATAGTCTTAAATTGTCAGCATCTGACAGGCACCAATTGCTTATAAAATTAAGCAAAGGCAAGGCAAGCCAGGTTTAAATCTAAGAGGGGCCACTAAAGAGTTTGCACCTATTTAAGTATATTTTAAAGTATTCTTCAATTAACTTTGTTGTTAACCAGGCCCGAGAGGTACCACACATACTGAAGTTCAGATTCAGGCATGTCCAACAGCTTTCCAACAGTCTACCACATGGTCATCATCCGCCTAGTGTTCTGACCTGTTGTTTTGCTCAAGGTCTATATCTTCCTACATAAGCTGCTTAACAAAGGAGGTCACACCTCTCCGCTTCACTTCCATGGAACCCTTCCAATCTCCCTTCTTTCCCCCTGGCAGTTCAATGCTGCTATGAACTAAATTCCAGAAGTTGCCCAGCCCATTTCCTGCCTTATGGGCAAGAAACTGACACTGGTTTGCTGGATCTTGGTCAACAGGCCAGCTCCCAGTCGGTACATCTCCTGTGATGCAAAATGAAAACTCATTCATCCAGCTTCTCTCTCTCTCTCTCTAGTCCCCATTCTATATTTTCATCCAATTTAACTCACAACCAGCACCATCAATATACCTCTGTTTCCACACCTCTCTGGTACACTGCTTCTCTTTTTCCAGCTTCACTTCATCTCTTTCCCATACTTACATTTACCTTTTCTTTCTTCCCTTTCCTAAGAGACTGTCCTCTGAACTCTGCGAACAACTTTCTCTGCCCAGAACTGGTTTACTAACTAGCAGTATCCCTGCTTTAACAGGTGACCATTTTTTTCTTTGCTTGTCCCTTCACCTTTAAGCTCCCCTTTGGTCCTTCTCTACAGATTCTGCACTTTCTCTATCTGCTGCCTTATCTTTCTCCTCCTGGCTTACACCCAAGTTCTTCAGCTCAGTTAGTACAGCCCAATGCAATTTCACTAGACACAATATCTGGAAAGTTTTATCTTCAGTCAGATTCAGGCACAAACCATTCCTACCTGACCGTTCAGCTGCTTTGTGACGTTTACTTGGATGCGCAACTGAAATCTCCTCATAGTCGGGGTCCTTCTCCTCAATCACTCTCTTGATTCCAGACATGCTGGCGTTACTGCTTCACTGAGAATGGAAATACAAAAAAATTAATGTCAGAATTACTCAGAGAGATACTAAGACTTTAGGATTCACATGACATAAGAGGAGAAGACTGCCTTCCAACTCATAAGAGGCAAGCTATACCTTGAATGACTACTACTCCTATTACGTTGTACTATCAAAGTGTTCAGTGATGCTAACTCACGTGGCTCCCCTTCTGAACTTTGGCACATGTTATCATTAGACCCAGAAGTTTAATTCTACCTCCAGCTTTGTTCCTCTTCACAGAACTACACAGTGGTGCCTTTTTAAAAGTGAACCAAGGGCTGAAACGGAAGGCCAGAAAGAGGAAACAATCTGTCCTATCACTAAAGACCAGTGCAAGCTGACCTGCAAATGTGGAAGTGTACCTTCTAGGTAAGAGAAGACACGTGTGCAGGGAAACCTAAAGCTCATGCTTTTTCCGCTCCCCCCAGTCCCCTTTTCCAAACTCTGCTAACAAAGTACCAGGTGTCATGGATTTGCAATAGGGATGCCCTATGAATCAGGAGTCTGAAATACATGACTGCCTCTCTCTCCCCATCACACCATACTTCGATCATGACTACTTGAAAGGAGACTCCACGTTCTGTTTCCAGCCCTCAGCGGTGTCAGGATACCTCAAGGCTTAGCAAATATACAAATGTTGTTTTGTCAACACTTAACTCTGGGGAGACTAAGATTCATATCTGCCCAAGAGTCAGTTGGCAAAACACCATTACCTAATCACGAGTGATTTCAGCCAGGGCGCCACAGCCTTAAGAGCCTTTCAAGGGTGCAGTGCAATGATAGCACTGTTAGGTCTGCAACCACGGCTCACAAGATAAATCCAGAGATTTCAAAGTGGAATCCACCGCAATAAAACACACTGACCCAGCGTGGTCTTTCTGAGGTCTCTGCAACAGAAGCATTGCTAGAGCATTTGTCAGCAGTCACAAAACAAGCAAGAGCAAAGAGCTGACACCTCCGGAGGGCTGCTAACGAGCAACGCCCGACTGAGCAGCGCTGCTGGGGGCTCTGCTAGCCTGCCACAGGCACAGATTCGTTTTTGAACCCGGGAGAGAGACCCTGGAGCAGCCGCCCCCCAAGGAGGCGCGCAGCCCCCCGCCACTAGGAAAGGGAAGGGACATGGCATGGGAGGCCCAACGCAGGCGACACGGAAAGAAAAGCGCTGTTGTTAGGCCTCCGCACCCGTCCCCGTGGGCGCCGACCCAGGCTCCATCGTGGCGCCAGCTCAGCCCCGCGCGGCCGCCCCGGGCCGG